TTTTTTTTTTTTTTTTTTTTTTTTGGTACCAGGGATTGAACATGGGTCTTTGTGCTTGCAAGGCAGGCCACCGAACTGCTGAGCTAAATCCCCAGCCCAAAAAATAAATTGCGTTATTTATAAGTTATCCACTTTCTAATATTTTGTTATGTGGCATGTAGGCCGTTGCTAGGACCCTGGATTTTACTCTGTATGGGATGGGTATATTTGAAAAAGTATTTTTAATGAAAAGTCATGTGATCTCACTTAGGTTTAAAGGGCCCAGTCTGGCTACTGAATTGAAACTAGATTAGAGGGGCAAGAGTAGAAGCAGGAAGCATTTACGTTCTTGCAATAATACAAGAGAGACATGATACTGGTGTAAACTAGAATGCAGAGGTGATCTTGAGAAGTTTGCAGATTCTAGATCTATTTTAAGGGAAGAGCTAGCACTGTTTTCTAATAATTTGGAAGTGGAGTGTGGAAGAAAGAAGTCAAAGTTGACCTCAAAGTTTTGACCTAAATAATAAGGATAAAGTTAATTAGATGTAAGGTTCTGAGGACCATTAGAATTTGTTTTGAGGCATGTTAAATTTCAGATGTACATTAAACTTCCAAGTAGATACGTCAGGTGTGGGTGTGAATGTGTACACACACACTATACATATATACATACTATGGGTATACATATATATTGCGTGTCTATATATGTAAGTTGAGTTTATAGAAGTCGGAACTAGATATACAAGACTGGAAACCTTTGATTTGCGAAATAACTTTTTCCTAAATATGTTCCTTTGAATTGATCTCTGAATCTTAAAGTTGATCTTTTAACTGAAGAAGATATTAGGACTATGAAGATCTGATAATGTGTAGACTATTAAGTCTCTGAAAAGAGTGTTTAAAAATAAAGTGACAAGGCTAGGTGGTGACTAGAATTGGAAAGGGTACCTGAGGACTTCTTCAATTAATTTTTTTTTCTTTCCTTTAGTTCCACTTAGATGGGTGTGTTCACTTTGTAAAAATTCACCAGGTTATAGGCCTATAGTGTGTATACTCATACACACACACACACACATACACATATATATTTTTTTTTGAGGCGGGTACCGGGGATTGAACTCGGATCCTTGTACTTGTGAGGCAGACAGTGACAGCACTGAGCTAAACCACTGGCCCTGTGTGTGTGTGTGTAAAAAAGGACTATATGAAGTGTTAGCACAAAGTAATATATATGAAATTTCAAAGAGTAGTAACAGTAACTGCTACTAGCACATAAAGAAAGGAATTGATTAGTACTATACACATAAAGTTTTCATTGAAAGTATTAAACAAGTAGAAAGTTGAAAGAAAACTTTCTGGGAAAGGCAAGACACAAAGGTCTGCACTTTTATCTTTCTTAGAGAAATAGGAGTGTTTAGCGGCAAGAGCAAAGAACAGCTTAGTTTGAGGGAGGGAGTATTTTCCGAAACAGAAAATAATGTCAGTGTGAGTTATTTACAGATAAAACTAATTATCATGTGAAATTGATTTCATCATCATTCATTTGTACTTAAATTTCAAATCAATTCACCTCTGTTTTAATGACTTAATTCCTAAAAACAGATTTTCTTCTGTATCCACATTGTGACTTTCTTAGGTCAGGACTTTTTTCCAGTCTTTAAAAGATACCCAGGTAATCTTGTTCCATATATATATATATATACATTTATTTTTACCCCTGTTGATTCTCCCATGTAAAAGCTGAGAAAAACAGTCTGTATGGCAGAAAATGCAAATGGGAAGAACAGTCTACAGTCCTGAAATAATGACTTGTCCCCCACAAGCAGCTGTCCATTAGAAGTATGTGAATCCCAAATTCAAATCATATGTATAATTGTAGGTTTTTCTACTGATCACATTAAGAAAACTGAGAAACTGGTGAAATTGTTTTAATAAGATTTTATTCGACTAATAAGTCCAAGATATTATCGTCTCAGTAAGTTGTCATAAAACAATGTTAATAAAAACCATTTGCATCTTTTTTCACATTGTCTTTAAAATCCAGTGTGTATTTTGCACTCGCTGTATTAGTCATGTTTCCCGTGTCCAGTAGCCACATGTGGCTAAAGTGCAGCTCTAGAGTGACAAGTGAAAAGTATGCGTTTCATTCATTTAGCACATATAGAACGCCTTACATGTTAGCTTAACAGAGTCCTCTAGTAAAAAAGATCTTTGAGATTTTGTCACAAATAGTACTTCTTCCTGGTAAATTCTAAAATTGTACTTTTAAAAAATAGGATCTATGTTTTTCTCTATGTGTGTTTTTTTTAAAGAATATTTTGACTTCAACCAAATTTTTCTACTAAGTAGCCTAGATAATTATATAAATAGACAGTGGGCATTAGAAAAACTTACTATTAAGTTTTGCCATTGATCACCCTCAGAATATTCTCCCTTGCTTAGAACATACTTACCCCATCTTCCGTGCCACTTTCTGAAGCAATTCTAGCAGTCCTCTTTCATAAGTCTTTATGAGACATGATTAAAAATATACTAATAAATGCTGCTGCTCAGCGCCATCCAGTGGAAAGGCAGGCTCATAAAAACATTAGTTTGTCTGCATCCTAATTATTCCCCAGCTCTAGCACCATGTGACTTCTAGCTCTTCCCACAAAAGGGAAAGAAACATTTTTAGTTTCATGAGAACATCAAGGCAGACCCAAAAGCACAGCTAGAGATGTGAAAGAGGACTTGCAGAGCTGCTTCAGAAAATGGCAAGAACAAGGGATGTGTGTGTTCACATGAAGAGAGGCTGCATTTTGAGGAGGATTAAAGCAGTATGTCTTTTATTGCAATAATCTTTTTAAACTTAAGTATTTGCCATCTTATTAATCATATCTCACAATTACAGAAATTGAACTTTAATATGGATTTGTTTTAATATTTCAGGCTCATATTTCAGCCATGGAGATAAAAATAGTATTGAACTAATCTGAAAACATAGCTTTGACAGATAATTGAATTTGCAGATTACATAGGGCAAAATAGCTATTTTTATAGCTTCTTCATGTCCAATTGATTCTTTTATCGGTTTTAAAATATGTTGCCATAAAACATTTTAGAAGCTGATGAGTTAACTATAGTGTGTACAGAGAAAGCTTTTAGTCTTAAATTTGTCATATTTATATTTTTAAAAATTTTTTTTTCATTTAGTACCCCCATTGATTATTTGCACGTCTGACAATCTAAATGATTTCTGGTGCTTTTTGCATAATAAGTATCATAGTTTGCATTATCAAGTAGGGGGTTTTAAAATATTTGGTTTGAATATCTTTACTTTTTTATATCTATTTCTCTGTGTGTGTCTTTCTCTCTTTCTTTCTCTCTCTCAATCTTCCTGTCTTGCTCTCTTTCTAGGTATATAAAATACTAGTAAAGAAAACCCCAGAAGAAAGCTGGGTAGTTTTCAGAAGATACACTGACTTCTCTAGGCTTAATGACAAAGTAAGTACTTCAGTAAATCCCAAACTGCCTTTTGAATGTGAGTTATTTATCTGTGCCCTATACATATTCTATATTTGTATCCTCTTTCTTTATTGTCTGAACCAAGTCAAATCTCTGCTAGCATAAGGAAGTTAAACGTTTCATTTCACTTTAGTGTCCTTAAATCCTATTTTGATCATTTTATACAAAAAAAAATAATTTTTTAGTGGAAATTGTGAAACCTTTAATATTCGATTTGTATAAGTTATTTATATAATCTTGTAAGCTTGGGAAAGACCTATATAAGATTAGGTTATTGTATAATCACATGGCTTTGAAAGAGTAAACAAAAAAATATTTTAACGTATTATTTTAGTTTTGCTGCCTACCATTATCATAAACCTGGTTACATACAATAGCTTATTAGTGGTTCAGATGGGTTCAGCTTGGTTTGCTTTTTAGGATCAAGCAAGCTCAAAAATCAAGCTTTCACTTGGCTGGGATCTTATCTGGAGTCTCTGGGGAAGAATCAGCTTCCTAGCTCATTCGGTTTGCTGGCAGAATTTAGCTTCTTGAAGTTGTAGGACCAAGGTCCTTGTTGTTTTGTTAGCAGCCAGCCACAAATAATTCTTAGCTCATAGAGACTGCTCTACATTCCCTGCACATCTTTGAAGCCACCAACAGTGGATCGTGTCCCCTCCTGTGCTTTGAATTCCTCCAGCTTTTACTTTTGCCACAAGCCAAAGAAAACATTATAAATGGCTCATGTGATAAGATTAGGCTCACCCGGATATCTCCCTGTCTTAAGGTCACCTGATTAGTAACCTTAATAACAGATGCAAAATCCCTTTGCTGTGTAACATAACAAAAATTACAGAAGCAATAACAGAGGCAAAGGTCAGGAAACTGCAGTTCTGCGTATTGCACATACGAAACAGGTTGATAATAAGCCTCAATATATTAACTCTTAAACATGAACCCAAAAGTAAAATCATAACAAATGATACAAACAATTATTCACAGAAGAAATATAAGTGACTAGTATGTCTGAGAACATTTAATATCACAAGTACTCTAAGAAAAGAAAAGTAACAAACCCGTTTTTACCCAGCAGATTGCCAGACATTTAGATAGTATTATCCAGTGTTGGAAATGCAGATCTTCCTAGAGGAAACCATTACGTTTTGCATGATTTTAACACAATAACCATATTTGTAGTATTTATTCTATTCATAAGCAGTCATTAATATTGGAAAGATTTAGCTCAAAGGATATTGATTAGTGTTTTATATACAGTGCTTTTGTTTAGAACCAACATAAATTTCTAACAGGAATTAGTGCATTTAGAAAATGTAATAGAGAAGGAAGAGCAGAACTTCTGCAGATCTTGAGGAAAATTAGAGACAGGTAAGGGTTAATTGGTACTTTGGAAACCAAGAGAGAGCATTGTTCTAAAAGAAGCAAGTGATTTATGACGCTTTTAAGCAGACAGGTAAGATGGACTTAGAACATGCAGAAGCCATTCCCCAGTTTTGTCAGGAGTTTAGTAGAGAAAATTTACTGTTTCTGTTCTTTTCCATTTGCTACCCTCCCTTTCCTCTTTCCTTGGGTTACTTAAAACTTGTAAAGTTCGTTTATTTCATTGTTTAGCATTGAGAATCCCCATTTATGTGACTTCACAGCTGTCCAGCTGCCAAAAAGTTTCTGCTTCTCTGAAAACCTCAATTTATATAAAAATGTAAAATATAGAATGCTAAACTATTTTATCTTTTTTTGGTACTCAGGATTAAACTTGAGACCTTGCACTTGTGAGGTGAGCAGTGGAACCACTGAGCTAAATCCCCAGCCCCTATTTTATCTTTTATTAGTTGTATTCTTGATACCTTTTTATACAGGCTAAGTATCCCTAATTCAAAAATCTGAAATTTATAATGCTCCAAAATCCTAAGCTTTTTGAGTGCTCACATAATACTACAATTGAAAACTTTTGTGACAGGTTACAGTCAGAATTCAGGCACACTAAAAATATATGAAATTAAAAGTATTATTTCTAATGTATTTCTACCATTTACATTTTCTCTACTATTCCTAAACCTTATATATTATATTGATGAATCAAGAATATGTAATTCTGTACCTTATGTTGATTTTTTAATGATTAAATAACAGGAAGATCAAAGAAATTTATACAGTTCTCAGATACTTAAGTGGAATTCTTAGCTTTCGTATACAATCATTATTTTATTCATTCATTGTTTTGAACAATTCACTTTAGAGCTATTTAATTCTTTATGGCTTACCTTTTTTTCAGAGATCAAGTGTTACTTAGTTCTCTTTATCTTTAGATTGATCTTTATTACTAAAATGTTTCTTCTACAAACTGAGATTGAGATTACTCAACCATTGAGGAATGTAACTGTACTGTATACCTAAAATATACCAATAAACTCAATGAGAAAAAAAAGGGATTACTCAAGATTGTGAAGAAAGATATTAATAGAAATTTAAGCCCACTAAATATCTCCTTGTTCTCTAAGTTAGCTACTTAAAATTATCAATAAGAGTCCATGTCAGTCTTACACAAGGTCACTCTATCTTCTGAGGATATATTCCAACATACGCAGTGGATGACTGAGAGCAGATAGTACCAAACCTTATACATACTATATGCACACATCTGGGATAAAGTTCAGTTTATAAATTAGGTGTGGTAAGAAATGAATGATAAGCTAGAACAATTATAATATGCTATAATAAAAGTTATATAAATGTGGACTCTCTCAAAAGACCTTCTTGTACTATATTCAACCTTCTTGTGATGATGTAATGCCTCCAGGAGATGCAGATGAAGCCAAGTGAGTGAGGCAGGCAATGGTACAAAGTGTTGGGCTACTACATAAGAGATACTTGAACAGTCCTGCAGTACCATGATGGTCCATCTGATAACCAAGAGGGCTCCTAAATGACTTAACTGGCAGGTAGGGTATGCAGTGTGAACACGCTGAAAAGAAGGATGATTCACATCCCACTGAAACAGGATAAAATGTAGCAGCACATAATTTAAAATTCATGAATTTTATTGATGGAATTTCCCACTTAATATTTGGCACTGCACTTGACCATGGGAAACTGAAAGCCATAGGAGGCAAAACCATGGATAAGGGGAGACTGTAGTAGATAACAAAGAGAGCTGAACCCGTCACCCCCTTTACTTGCAAAATCCAAGAAAAATGTATGTCACATACTAGCAAGCACACAGTTAAAGTTAGGTTACTATTTTTAAAATTATTAAAAATAAAGTAAAATCTTGTAATTGTACAACAGTCATGAAGTATATATGCAATAAATAAAGTTTGAACCCACCATTGTGCTAGGAATTTGTTGTAATATAAAAACCCTATAGATATCTAACTTTAAGGAGTTTACATTCATCAGTTACATATTTATGAAGAAAAAATACCCAGTTGACAATGTGAAAATTATTGAACATAGTTCAAGTTACACTAGTTAGAGAAAACTTTCTGTAGGACACTGATTTATCTTTTAATTCCCAGGTCAGTTTTTCTGGGAGTTTTCTAAGCACGTTTTCTGTGGAAGTCAGGGCAAAGTTTTGAGCAGGTTCTGGAATGTGTCCACCTTTTCTGAGTTGAGACAGTGGGCAAGGTTGTAGGATCGATGGAATGAAGCATTGTTGCAGAAATACGGCAAGGAGAAGTGGGTTTTTCTGTAAATTCTACTTTAGAACTCAGTATTTTCTACTTCTGTGTCAAAGCAGTAGGTCAAAGTAAGCATGTGTGTGATAAAATGAATGTTTTCAATCCAGGCAGCAAGACTGAATGGGAAGGAGGGAGCAGCATGTTACCAGCTTACTGTCAAGTCAAGTCAAGCTCAGCTATTCCTCATATTAGCTCTCACGCTGAAAAATTCATTGGTGTGCCGGCCTCAGTGTGTCTCCGGAGTCACTGCTCTGTCCTGAGCTATTTCCCCTCAATATATGGTCCACGAGGGGCAGCCTGTTGCCTCTCACTGTCCTTCTGGAGATTTTTTTTTCCCCACCTCTTTCCTTTGTTGAACTTTATTTCCTCTATCCCAGGTCTTTCTTTTCTTGAATCACTCAATTTTGCAACTCCTTTTATTCATGGATACTTCTTCAGAGGAAAAAAAATTAACCATGTATTTGGACATACGTGGCACTTAAATCATTAAACTTAAAACTAAAAGACTTATTTTCTCATTACTCTCATTATTTTCTTTATAAAATAATAAGACTCCAGGCCAGAAATATGTATTTATATATTGAAATCAAATCAGTTTTCATTTATCCAATTTGCTTTCTAATTTTTGCCTCATTTATTTTCTTCTTCAATTATTTATAGAAATAGAGTATGTTATATTTTCCATTTTTATTTTGCCCTGTACATTTTCCCCTTTTGTTGGTCTTCTTTTTATAACTGTCATACTTAATCTTATACTTAAATATAGAAATGCTGAATTTACATGGATTTATTTCATTTATTTTACACATTTATTGAACATATATTTTTGACTGCCACCACGATGCTAGATATTGATAATGCAACTAGAATTAAGGCAGAGTAATTGCAGTGTATTAAAATGGTTCTTAATCTGAGCTGCACTTTGGACTTCCCTGGAAAGCTTTCTAAAATTACAGTACCCAGGTCACACTCCAACTAATTAGATCCTAATCTGTAAGTCATGGTCATTAATATCTTTCAAAACTTCTAAAGTGATTCCAGTGTACAACTAAGGTTTAGAATCATTGATTTAATAGAATCTAAAACTAAATAAGTATTATTTACATTGTGACAAACATCATTAAAAGATACATCAATAACTTGACAGTGTGTGGCACAATGTCTTGTCTTAAAAATCACACCAATGCCTTCAATTCCCCGTGCTTTTCCAGAATCTTGCCACTACCTATCAAGAGGTAGAATCTACATCCTCTTCCCTTGAACCTGGGTGAGCTTGGGGCTTCTTGACCCAGTGAAGGACAGTAGACATGATACCATGGGACTTTCACAGCTAGATCATAAGAAGTATACTGTTTCATCCTGGCTGTATTTTGTGATGGTTGATTTTGAAATCTACCCTCCATGCTATGAGAAAGTCCAGGGCACATGGAATCACCAGTGTTAGGCTTGTGGCTGATAGCCCCAGAAAGTTTCAGCCAGTAGCCACTTACACGTTTGAGTGAGTGAGTGAGTGAGTGAGTGATCTTCAAATAAGTCTTGCTCCCAGCTTTCAAGTTTTCTAGCTGGATCCTCAGTTTCCTGTAGAACAGAGATAAGTTCTCCTCACTATACCTGCGATGAATTACTGGCACACAGAATCCATTACTTTAATGAGTAGTTGTTTCTTGCTAAGTTTTGAGGTCATTTGTTACAGTTACAGTATCTTGAACAGAATATATAAAGGGAGTCTAAACCTGGTTTCACAGGTCCTGAAGATCTTCCCTAAGAAAAGAAAATTGAAGCCAAATGTGCAAAATAGATCAGAAACAAAAATATGAGTTAAAACTATAAACTTCTAAGAAAAAACATTGAAGAAACTCTTTGCAGCCTTGAAATGAGCAAAAATTCTTAGCTTAAAAAGCACAAACCAAAAAAATGTGAGATAATGAAAAGATGGAAATAAAATATTTATAGATGGGGAGAGGAGGAGGGGTGAAGGGAGGGCAGGGACAAGGGAAAAAAATGAGAGCCAAGACCTGTCATGTAGAGGTACAGGATCTCAACAATGAATATAACTGTACTGTATCCCTAAAATGTACCAATAAACTCAATTAAAGCTGAAAAAAAACAGCATAAACCATAAAAAGAAGAGTAGATGAATTAGCTAACTTTAAAATGTGAGGGCCGGGGATTTAGCTCAGTGGTTCCACCACCTGCCTCGCAAGCTCAAGGACCCGAGTTTGATCCCTGGTACCAAATAAATAAAGTTCAAGCTTCAGTCTGTAAGAAAATATTTAACACATATATCTGACAAAGGACTTGGATTCAATAAAGTGCTCTCAACTTAATAAAAAGAAAACCCAATTTTTTTTAACAGGAGGGGATAGTTGAAAGATATGAGTAGATAATTCATGAACGAAGACTTGCAAATGCAAATAGGCAAATGAGAAAATATGTGACATTGTTTATCAACAGAAATGCAAATTACAGCCCCACTGAAATACTACTACACACCCACTGGAATGGCCAGTATTAAAGATGGACAATGCCACCAGGCGTGGTGGCGCAGGCCTATAATCCCAGCACTCGGGAGACTGAGGCAGGAGGATCACTGTGAGTTGGAGACCACCCTGGGCTACATAGTTCCAGGTCAGTCTCAACTACATAGTGAGACGCTGTATCAAAAAAACTAAAATAAATAAAATAAAGATGGACAATGCCAAGTTTTGACAAGAATATGAAGTGGTTAAAACTTGTATATACACGTCTGATACAAATCAAGAAATAATGCATAAAAAGCTTACCTGAATTTAATTATTTTAAGCTTGTTTTGTAATCACATGCTGAATGGGATAGATTTTATGGAATTGGTGTAACTGAGTTAAATATTGTACTTTCTCTTTTCTTTTTCAGTTAAAAGAGATGTTTCCAGGCTTTCGATTAGCACTTCCACCAAAACGCTGGTTTAAAAATAATTACAATGCCGATTTTTTAGAAGATAGACAATTAGGATTACAAGCATTTCTTCAAAATTTAGTAGCTCACAAGGACATTGCTAACTGGTATGTAACAAATTGAAACAAGAGATTATAAAAGCATTCCGACAACTGGCTTAAATGGAAGAATAAATCTAGGACCATAGTTACTTAAGCACATAGCATACAGTGTCATTACTTGTCTTTTCTAATAAGTGCTTAATAACATTTTTTTCCTTTCTTTCAATTAAGGATTTTATTTGGCATTTCATTTTTGTTAAAGCTTTTAAAAAGTCAGTAGAGCAAAGATGTCAGTATACCATTTACTCAAACCATCCAACTTAAATTTGATTTTAATATTTGCCATTTTTGCAATTATGTAAACAGAATGGTTGACATATTAGCCAATTTTTGCTTAATGTATCATGTGTAACTTTGAGACTAGTATCTTTTGTATTTCCCCAGAGCAATGCAAAACTATGAAAATTGTAAAGCTGGGTTGGTTTATATAGAAAGTAAAGTGAAAATGCGAAAAACAATTAACAAATAGGAAAAGGATCTAAATGAAATTTTCGCTTCTGGTTATATTTATAAGAAAATTGCTTAATGACAGTATCAGCTGGATGTATCATTTGGGAACTTTTATCAGATATATTAGAACTATTTTGAAAAAAGTAGGGAGTATTTACAATACAGTACCATATTGATTAACTGTCTTTATCAGTTTTTTCCCCAAAAGACAGAAAATGATTAAGAAAACCATTCTACCCCATTTTCTTAGTCTGTCTTTAAGCAACCTTGAGTTATTCCTGAAATACACATAAATATTTTAATGTGTGCTGCCTAGGCTTAGTGACTTTTCAAAATCCCTGCCTGTCCTCCTTCGTCATCTTAATGGAAAGCTACAAACCACACCCTTCTTTATACTCCAGATTCATATACTTGTCTCCTTGACGTCTCCCTTGGGTGACTCAGAATTTACCTCAAACCTAAAATTTAAAGGCATTGTCTCCAGACTGTTCTTTTCAGCAGCCGCATCTACCTGAAACTTGCAAGTCATCCTTGACATATCCCTCATTACTTTGCTCCTTCCTTTACATTTGAGATCACACTCAAGCTTGCCTACTTTTCTGCATCCCTGCCATCACTCCAACCCAAGTAGGTGGCTCTGCCTTAAGCATTCCCACTGGTTTTCCTCATACACTCTTACTTTTGTAGCCCATTAGCGTCATAGTGTTGTATTGTGACATGGTTTGATAAGTCTGGTCCCTGCTTGCCTCCTGTCACTCCAGCCTTGGGCTTTGTTATTCCTTCCCATACCACATTCTGTGTACATCTGCGATGTTAGTTTTTCTTTATCCTCTGAAATCACTGTGCTCTTTTGTCCCTCAAATTCTCTATTTACCGGAAAGGCAATATGTTGCACTACCATCCATGATATGCTTCAAATTTCAATGCAGACTTCTTTCCTTTAAGTAACTGACCTTCCTGGTCAGTTCCCCCTTCCCATCTTTTAAGTTCATAATACTTTCTGTAATTATTTGATTGTGTTTCTCATACTACACTGTAAGATGTGTAAGTGCAGGTCACGTGGCTGTTCACCATTCAGTGTGCATTGCCTATTACCACATTGGTGACCCAGTCAGCTCTCCGTAAATACTTGAATGAAAGATATTGATCTTCGTGGTTGTACTATTTATTAGAAAAGATTAAAGCAAACATGACAGACTTGGTGATCATGTGTGTACATACTAGGAACACAAGTGTTCCCTATTTTTCTTCACATTTTTACATCTCAAAATAAAAAAGAGGAAAGGTTAGTTTTTAATTCAGGCACACTAAGTAGGAATGAAGACCAATAAATGTTAAAATCATAGGAGAAGACTTTGAAGAAAATATAGTTTATATTGTACCATAAAAGAAGAATTTTACAAATAAGTCAGCACATCCTTTACCTGTTCTCTTTTCCATTATTCGGTAAGCCTTTGTGTTGAAAATATTGTGATGAATTAAAATCACATTTTTCTAGAGATGACTGTATTTTTACCTAATCAAATATTAAATAAGAACAACTTTAACTCATTTTGTGATGATTTGATTTTTAAGTAGTATTTTAGCTAAATATTGGTATGTATTTTTTAACTATTAATAATCTCAAGTTACACATTGTTAAACATTAGGGACCTTCAAGATGTTTCTGAACTGCTTACCACAAACATTGATAGTGGTATTGTTCAATTCATAAATAGTTGTTGCAGGAGAAGTGTGTCTTAGACAACTAAGTTGGAGAAAGTTTTCGTTTCTTATTCTTAGACTATAAAACATTCTAAGAAGTCTTAGATGAAAGAATGTAGTGTGCTTTGTATTTATTTGCCTATGTATTTTGTCATACATCCTCAGATGTTTAGGGGATCCAGTGATATAAATTAAATTGAATTCAAAACAATATTTTTGCTTTGAGTACTCACTTTTTATGGGTAACAGGTAGCATTTTTATTTCACATTATAAGGGCTTTCTTAATAAATTATTATTTATCAAAAGTGGGAGGAAGAAAAGAAAAAGTTACTCATCAGTATCTTAAACATTTGCCCTGTATCATGCTAAGAATAGCATAAAAAAATCAAGGATACACTCACTGGTCTTAAAATTCATTTAAAGAGGGCCAGTGATTTGGCTCAGTAGTTCTGCTGCCTGCCTCGCAAGCACAAGGACCCAAGTTTGATGCCCAGTACCAAAAAAAAAAAAAAAAAAATTTAAAGAAATTAGGTTTCTGTTTGAACAAAATAAGGGAGTTTATGCAGTTTTGTGTGATACAGGATCAGATGTGTCCATCCTGTGGGCATGCAGCCCTGGACAGCTCGTGAAGTGGCTCCATAAAATCATAAGCTTTTAACATTATTGTGTGATTTTTTTAAAACTATTTTTCATGACTTAATTGCATGGTGCTGGAGCATAGACTACATAGTCAGCAATACACTAGGAGAAGGCACAGTGCAGTACCAACCCCATCTCCTTCACTTGCCACACCATCGAGTTGAAACGTGCGCGTATGAGATGTTACGTGTGTTTGTACAACTTGGTGAGTAAAACACAGCCATTATGGATAATAATATTTCAATCTACTCTAAATACCATACATGTGTGTGCTTGTGAACATGGGCATTTGTTATTAAGCAGATAAACTTGGGCAGCCAGAGCCTACAGTGTGAGACTGAGATTGCAGAAAGTCCAAGGTTATCAAGAAGTAAAGATCAATCATTAAAACTTGCCTACTCTTTTTGTTTTGGAATGACAGTGCCATATCACCTCACCCTTGGTACTGTGGATGATTCTTAACATGTCAGGTCCAAATTACTGCAGATTTTGCTACATGTTAGTGTTACTGTTCTGCCGCACTACACAGCCAGGATTTTCACTTTCTGCAGTCTAAATTCAAGTAGTGGTTAGTAAGAGCTGGAGTGTGTCTAAAATTCTAAAAAAAAATTTTTTAATAATTGAAAGGGAGAAAAGGAAACCCCTCCTAATGGAGAAAATAGAGGATGACAGTGATCCCAACACTTCATGAAAACATAAAACATCAACTAGTTGTACATTACCTGTTGTGATGCCTATTAGCATCCTGTTACATTTAGAACAGCAGCATTTTAAAAGTTGGTGTCTTTACATGGTCATATGTAATCATGGAATATTAACTATGTGTTTATTCTTTCACTTTCCTTCTGATACCCTTAGCTTGTTATCACGCAGTTCCTAGTTAACCTTCCTGCGAATTGGCTAGGAGTTTGCCATTACACAACTGTCAGCTTGCAATATTTCAGCTGCTCTCGTTGTAACAATGCAGAAGCACAATTAAATAAGAAGTGAAAGGAGACTAAGGATTGTTAGTTTGACTGTTTTAAAAGAATATTATTTCCAGATACATTTAGAAAATACCAAATAAGAAAACAGATAAATATATTTTAATATTCCCATGATAAAAGGATTTATTTGATTTTATCTGACCAATGAATATTTATTTAGGGCTAACTTTATAAAGGATGTGACTATGCCAAGATGAATTAAGCAGTAATCAACTTTTCACAAAACTGAGAAAGATAGAAACGTGCCCCAAATGGGAATAATGAATATAGCAGTAGAATTCTTCTAGAAAAAGGATCGACAGACATTTTTTTCTTGGGAGAATTCGAGCAGGCTTCCAGGAGGATGATGGCAGAGTTGAACTTTAAGAAGTACAGTTGACCTTTGACTTACAAATTCATTTAGTTGGTGAGGGCTGGTTGTAACTCAAGTTGGTCAACTGAAGGCTCAGGCTCCTCTGTGCAGCCTTCAAAGTCTCTCTCCTGTGTACAGGCAGATCTCAGTGTCCTTAGAGACTCACTGGGCCAGGATTTCTCAACCCCACACAGGAAAGGATGTTGTAATGTTTCATCCAGAACTCTTTAAGAATAAATCTGTATCTGAGACTGTCTGGAAACACAAGCAGCCAGCATTTGGGCATAACTCAAGACTTTGATCATAAGTTAAAACTAAAATTCCAGTTGTAACCCAAATTGTTCATATGCCAGGCCAGCCATAACTGGAGGGCCCACTGTAGTGATAATTGTACTACCAAAGAAAAATGTGGCAAATGAAAGATCAGAATGGAGCAGCAGCAGCAAGGTAAATGCCCTGTACTAGAACAGCATGTAACTCAGTTTGTCAAGGTGAATGATACATGCTAGTCTTATACTGCACAATCTGTCATAGTTAAAATTTGGTTATTTTATGCTGTCTTTTATTGCTCTAAAATCATTACATTATTCAGCACAATAATGTTTTACTAGTCTGTTATTTTCAGAACTATTCCATATATATTATTACCAATATTTTTCTTTTTTAAAATTCTTTAAAATACAAGTTAGGGGGCCGGGGATTTGCTTCAGTTTTTCCAGTGCCTGCTTTGCAATTGCAGGGACCCAAGTTCAGTTCCCAGTGTCAAAAAATAAAAAAAATTAAAAAACAAAATATAAGTTAGGGCCAGGGATTTAGCTCAGTGGTTCTGTTGCCTACCTTGCAGGTGCAAGGACCCGAGTTCGAGCCGCTGTAC